AAGCACATAAAGAGTAGTCTGTGGATTCAAACCTAGTTTCCCGACAAATGGGTGAATTCTTACGAATGTAAGTGCCCAGGCCAAGCATGTGACTATTGGAGTTTTTACGAATTAAAGGAAGATAACCATCAGCACTAAGATCACAAAATGAGACAGCTGAACTCAAATTAGTCTCACAAAGAGCAAGTAGGTCTGGTGAACTTTGCAAGAGATAAGACTCAACAGAAGAAAGGTTACTTTGAAGACCATGAATATTAGTGAATGATAGGCTTAGAGAACTTGGTGATGGCAATGGTTTTTATGTTTTATAGTTTTTGTTACTTTATTCATTTTAAAATTTGTTAAAGAACTTGGCTCAAAGCATAGATAGTACTCAGTACACTGTTTAATAGCTAAGCAATTGTCTCATTACTATTAATAAACCCTACACTGTAACAAAGGATTCCGATTTGGCCTTGGCAATGCACACCAATAGAACAATCAGAGACACCATCCATGCGCAACATGGCACTGTTAGAACTTTGATATTTTTCAGCTGTTGATGGAATCAGCCTTTCTGAGAACTACTATAGAGTTCAGGAAACCTGACTACCAGACGGCCTCAGAACCATAAAACTGAGTTTTAAAGCTGTAGCCTTATTAGGAGATAATAGAATGAGACACATGCAAAACCCATACATCGAGTCAAGAAGATCCAGCATTCAACATCCTAAACTGGAAACAATGTATTAAATATACATCTGTGCCAGTCTAATAGATGAAGAAGGGGTGTGAGGGTGGTCAACAGATAGAATCTGTATATATATATATATATATATATATATATATATATATATATATATATATATATATATATATATATATATATATTTTATTTTTTTATTTTTATTTTAAGTTTATTTTTTGTTCCTTAATATTACAAATTCGTAACCACATAATAAAGATTCGTTAACAGTGAATATATAAATAAAAACAAAATATTACAAAGTGGTTTTACAAAAATAATAAATTCACTCTAACACTGTAAAAGAATGCGGAAAACTTGCAGAAGACCAAATGGTCTTATCATCAAGAACCGCTTTACATTGCCGTAAATATAAAAACATATTCATAAAATTTTTACATAAAATCATTAAATTATAATGGTATTAAAATGTCAGATAACAAGTATACAAATATATTTTTACAAAAATCGTTTTGTAAAATCGCAATGTTGAAAATATATTTATATTAAATAAAAAAGAAAATACTTATAAATAAATTTTAAAAAAATCACTAAATTTTTATACTTTAAAATACTCTTTTTAATAGTTTTTTAAAAGCAATTTAAGTTTTTTAAATCAATATTATTTAAATTAATTAGTAAAAACTTATTCCAGATATGAGGTGCACGATAAGTCATTTTGAATTGTTCAAGCTTATTTTTGCATGAAGGCTCTAACAGGGTACTATTTGTACGCAATAAATATTTGTACTCTGGTTTTTGTTTATAAAGAATATAGAAAATTGAAGGACTTTTTTGCATTTTGCTATTATACATAAGACTTAGAACATTATATACATTTAGTTCAAACAATGTTAATAAAGACATTTGTTCAAAAAGAGGTTTTGAGTGTTCTGTTTTATTTTTAAAATTAATCACACGTATAGCATGCTTCTGTTTACGATAAAGTGGTTCTAGTTTCGTTTTATAGGTACTACCCCAAGCTATATTTCCGTAGTTTAGGTAACTTTGAACAAAACTATAGTAGATTTGTTTGAGTAGTGATTTTTTTAATAAATAACGTGACTGGTATATTATTCCTATGCTTTTGGATATTTTACTACCTATATAAGCGATATGTTTATTCCAATTTAGATTTTCGTCAATAAAAACACCTAAAAATTTCGTAACAGTATCCCTACCGATTTCTCTATTTTCAATAAACAATTTCGAAAAAAAAGATTGAACTTTTTTTTTAAAAGAAGGATGAAATAAAGAAATCTTCAACAGCATGTCTTGCCATCAGTAGGTTCATCAGGAAGCCTGATGAACCTACTGATGGTGAGACATGCTGTTGAAGAGCACAAAAATTAGATAAGTGTTTTTACTAAATTATATATATATATATATATATATATATAATATATATATATATATATATATATATATATATATATATATATATATATATATATATATATATACCAGTGGTGTACACTGGATTTATAGATGTTTAAGTTTTGACACTTACAGGCATTGTGCAAACTCCAAACTTTTGTATGTTTATGTGTATGTCAAATGAGAATGTTTTGCAAAAAGTTGCAGTAATTAAAGCTTGGGGACAAAAAAAAACCAATTTTTAGGCCCACCCAGCTCTTAACATGGGAGCAACAAGTTTATAAAATATTTTCTTTATTATTTTTATATAAGTTTATATTCATTAAGAAATTTCAAATTTTGTGCAATAATCTTTTATTTTTCGAAATTTATGAACATATAAAGTTTTAACCACCTCTTTGAGGGGATTAAAACTTTATATGGTCATAATTTTCAAAAATTTGAGGGGGCTGTAAACTTTGTACGGTCAACTGAACACTAAGAGATTATTGCATGAAATTTAAAATTTGTTGATGAATATAAACTTAAAATAAAATAATTAAAAATTATTTTATAAACTTGTTGATCCCACGTTAAGGGCTGGGTGGGCCCAAAAATTAGAGCTTTTCTGTCCATAAGCTCCAATCACCGCAATTCTTTGCAAAACATTCTCATTTGACATAAACATGAAGACACAAAAGTTTGAAGCTTGCACAATGCCTGTAAATGTCAAAACTCAAACATCTAAAAATCTAATGTACACAATATATATATATATATATAATATATATATATATATATATATATATATATATATATATATATATATATATATATACATATATATATATATATATATATATATATATATATATATATATATATATATATATATATATAAATATATATATATATAAATATATATATATATATATATATATATATATATATATATATATATATATATATATATATATATATATATATATATATATATATATATATATATATATATATATATATATATATATATATATATATACCATTACCCATACACCCCAATTTGCAGCGAATTTAGGGGCCCAATTTTGAAATTTTTAAGATTAAGGAGTTTTTTTTTTAGTATTACATAATAAAAAAATATTTAAAATTTTGGGGCCCAACTGGCAGATTTTTGGGGGAGCTTAGGATCTACTAGCCATGGCACTGTATGTGTATATATATATTCAAACATACATACAGTGCCATGGATAGTGGATCCTAGGCTCCCCCCAAAATCTGCCAGTAGGGCCCCAAAATTTTAAATATTTTTTCATTATGTAATACTAAAAAAAAAAGCTCCTCAATCTTAAAAAGGGCCCCTAAATTCGCTGCAAATTGGGGTGTATGGGTAATGGTAAATATATATATATATATATATATATATATATATATATATATATATATATATATATATATATATATATATATACCCATATATATACATTATATACAAACATAGTATAAAATAGAAATTTTAAAAACAAATATATATTTAACAATTAAACTTACATCTAACATTTAAGGTGATATTCTTTGTTACTGAATAAAAAGAACTATTTGCAACACACCCATAAATTCCTGAATGTCTTATTTCCACAGATTGTATTTTAACAGATGTGATTTTTATAGCAAATGATATATTTTGATAGATTGTCTTATTTTCTAACGAACTATTAGTTGAAAATGAAGGCATCAACCAATATAATTGAATTGAAGAATCTCCATAAGATTGGCATGTTAGTTCTACTTTATCAGATACGTTTGCATACTGAATTTCATTGTTAACCGTTACAGAAGGGGGCACTAAAAAATAAAAAAATAATAAAAGACAAAACAAGTCTAAAATAATCATAGAGATAAAAAAGTAAGATAGACCTTACCCTTTGATTGTATCATACTATCAGGATAAGAGAATCCATGGTCAAACATTTTAAACTTTTTTATATAATCATAAGTTCTATTGAAATCATCATTGTAAACATAGTGTCAAAATAATTTTCAATTCGAGTGATTTAAGTTAAAAACAAATGATCAAAGAATATAAAAAGATGAAATAAGATAATAATAAAAACAAAAATAATAATAGTAATAAAAATAATAATAATAATGAGAGATAACTAATAAGAGAGATAGCTAATAAGATTAATGATAAAACTTGAAAGAATAATAAAAAAAACTTGAAGATAAATGTTTATATCCATTATTTTATTATACTTTTACTAAAGATTTGTGTTTTACTAAAATGGGACTTTAACTATTTATAATGTTTATTTTGAATTTATTTTTTGTTTTAATATTTAGCCTTTAACTACATTGTAAATCACTTCTTAGTAAAATGTAACTTTTACTGTTTTCATGTTTTTTAATTTTCTTGTGTAACAGCAGGTAATAGCATACTTGTGTAACTGCTTTGTCTGACTTGAATATCAACCTTGAATATCTATCACATAAGAGCAATTTTTATCTTTTGTGTACTATAAATAATGTGATAATATCTTAAGTTATCTATTAAACTGCAACCACTTGTTCAAATGTGAATCACCATAACTTTTTTTTATGTGAACTGACATTTATTCTTTTCAAGCAAAATACCAATTAATAATTTAAATGAGAATTTGATTCACTCCTATACATTTGAAAAACTTGCTTTTTAAGATTTGAACTGCCCTTTCTTCTTTTAAATGTGATTTTATCTATATAATACATGCGAACAACTTGCTTTTTAAGATTTGAACTGCCATTTCTTCTTTAAAATGTGATTTTTAATCTATTAAATATGAATTTTAATGCAAATTGGAATTTTTATACATGAAACCTCATTAACTCATTTCAACAAGCAAGCATTTACCATTTTTTTACACATTTTTCAGGTCACATGCTTGCATGCCACTAAGATCACATGTTTGATCACATGTCTGCTTCAATCTAATACTACTAATACAACATTATATTGAAAAATATAATAATGTAAGAACATTTAGTAGTATTTCAAAAATGATTCGTATAACAACTCAGCAAAAAAAAAAAAAATTTTTTGTAATTATGTGGCTTGGGAGAACAATCAAAGAGGTTTTTTAAAGTTTTCATTTTTAAAGTTTTCATTACTCCTCAAAACATGAACCATTTTGAACAAAGCCACTGCATAGAAAAACAAGATGTACTACCAGGGTTGTAGCTACCAGGGTTGTCGGGGACTTTGAACTTATATTTCTCACTTAGAAATATAAACACAAAATATCTTCACAATAAAAATTAGTTGTAAAGGATTTTCTTTATTTATAAAAATTTAAATATAAATTAAGCATTAAAAATGTAAAGCAAACTGTATAACTTGAATTCAACAAAGGTTTTAAAAAAATTAAACTTATTCAATAACAAATAGTAAAAATCATCATAATTATTTCGATTTTTATTATATATTGATTCATATTTTATTTTATAATATTATTATTTTAATAATAATATCTATTTAGGAAATGACAACTTTTGCTAATAATTTTTTTTGTACAAACATTACATAAAATTTATTTATATAATTTCATTATAAAATGTAGTAAATACAGACCTAATAAAATATTGCAGAAAAACATAAAATATAGACTTTAAAACACTTTGTCAAATAAAATAAAATACAGACCTTGTAAAACATTGCAAAATAATGTTTTAATTTATTTTCTAAATGTTTGCTTTTATTTTGTTCTCTAAAAACTTAATTTTAATTTAAACATGATTTATTTATCTTTTAGGAAAAATATTTCAGAATAAAATAAAACATAGACCCTAAAATAAATTGTTAAATTAAATAAAATGCAGGTCTTGTAAAACATTGCAAAATAATGTTTTAATTATTAATTTGTTTACTGAATGTTGGCTTTTCTTTTGTTCTCTAAAAACTAAATTTTTATTTAAACATGATTTATTTATCTTTTAGGTAAAATCAATGCATAATTAAACAGATACTTTTAAAACCATAGTTTTGTGTTCTGAAACTAGAATCATTTAATGGCCACTTTAAATTTATATTTAAATTATGGTTAAAAAATATTAACTAATTTCTTTTTTATCTAGTTTAGATGTCTATCCTATTTATCAATTTGCAAAGTTTAGTCATGGAAATAATCATGTTTAGATTTTCCCATCGCATCAACCGCACCCATTATAGATTAGTCATACTGAAGAGGTGTATGGTGGGCAAGGTTTCAATTATAATTGTCTGGAAAAGCTGGCAACAACAGTATTGAAACTTAAAAACTTTATTTAAATAAGGTGACCAGTAATGGTATGCTCCAAAGATAGTAAAAAATGCCAATCACCTGTTATAGTTTAAAAAAGTTTAAAAATATTGAATTTTACAAAAATGTTTTAAGAAATTTAATTGCTAACTGGAAACTGAAACCCCCTGCAAGACCTTTGGCAAGTTTTCACTTACTATTCCAGATAGTAATTACAAGGAAATGTTAGCAGTGCAAAAAAATAAAGTAAGAATAGGTTCAAGATTGAATTGATGATCGACCAATGGAATTGATCGACCAATGGAATTGATCGACCAATGGAATTGATCGACCAATGGAATTGATCGACCAATGGAATTGATCGACCAATAGAATTAATCGACCAATGGAATTGATCGACCAATGGAATTGATCGACCAATGGAATTGATCGACCAATGGAATTGATCGACCAATGGAATTGATCGACCAATGGAATTGATCGACCAATGGAATTGATCGACCAATGGAATTGATCGACCAATGGAATTGATCGACCAATGGAATTGATCGACCAATGGAATTGATCGACCAATGGAATTGATCGACCAATGGAATTGATCGACCAATGGAATTGATCGACCAATGGAATTGATCGACCAATGGAATTGATCGACCAATGGAATTGATTGACCAATGGAATTGATTGACCAATGGAATTGATCGACCAATGGAATTGATCGACCAATGGAATTTATCGACCAATGGATTTGAGAACAATAGTAATAACAAGTTTTTATATAAATGTAACTAAATTATAATTCATTTTTTCAAAAGTTCATGATTAAATTTTTTTTTGATAACAACGTTATTGAAAATATACAATTAAAATATTTATTTACCATATTATGCCCCTAAAAACTAAAAAGAGAAAAACCAATATTAACAAATTTTTTCATGCAAAAACTAAACTTTTACATGAGAATATTTAGAATGATAAAGTATTAGCATTTAAGGTCAATGAATGTTATATTTAGAGATCATAACTAATAAAGATGTAAAAATATTTTGTGTGTGTAAAATATACTGTTGTGTTAAAACCCAAATTAAAAAATATCTTTTTATCTCTAGTAAAGGCAAAAAAGTTGTTTGTGATATAAAGAAACAATCAAAACTGTAAAAGAGTAAAAACACGAAGAATAAGAAAAACAACAACTAACTGTATTGGGCACAATTACAATTATATTAAGGTTTTGTGATTTGATTCAGAATCTAGACATAAATGATGTTAGACTCATTCAAAAATGATGTTAAGTTCATAAAAGAAAAAATATTTGTTTACAAAAAACAACAACAATTTGTGTTTGAAAAAAAATCTAAAATCTAAAGACTCATCAATAATAAGAATTTTAAGTTATGCAATTGAAGAAACATGTTGATACACATAAAACAAAATTGTTAGCTTTTGAATTTAACTGAAAATTAAAAGAAATTTTGCAATTGTTACCAAGTTTAAATAAAGTTGAAGCCAACTTCACTTTTCAGTGGAACACCTATAAAAATCGGTGCAGAATAAAAAATTGTTTGTATGACGTTTCAGAGAGTCTGAGACCTGCAACACCATCACTCATCAGGGGTGTGTCCTTGCAACAGATTTTACCACCTGCACTCAGTGCAGAGTAAAAAATTGTTTGTATTCTTTCTTTGCAGCATAAGAATAGATTAAAAATGAAAATTTTGACAGCACAATCAAATCAAAGTTTTTTAAGATTAAATTTTATTATCCCGTAGAAAAAACATTTACTCAAGCAAAGTTATGTTGATATACAAGTGTCATATAATGTTAATTATGAACATAGTTAAAGTCCATCTTTATCATTATTCAAAATATCAATAATAGCTAAAACCATTACAACAAGTGGAATGGATTTTTTTCGGTAATCTATTATTATGGTTTTAATGCAAAGAAAAAGTTTTTTACTTGAACACATTTTTATTGGTGTTTTAATCTGCACTGGTAAATTGGTTTTTGTAGATGTTTTTCTGGCTCATTGGTTTTTATTGAGTTTAAGTAGATGCACATATTAAATGAAATGATCAGAAGAACCATCACAGATATATCAATAATAAAATGGCATTCCATACAAGGTTGGATATATAGAGGTTGGATATACTCCTATACTATAATATACACACACATAATATATACACACACACACACACACACACACACATATATATGTGTATGTGTGTGTGTGTGTGTGTGTGTGTGTGTGTGTGTGTGTGTGTGTGTGTGTGTGTGTGTGTGTGTGTGTGTGTGTGAAGAGTGAGTAAAAATGTTGCACCATGGAAAAATCAACATTAAAGCTATAATGATGAGTGATTTTGAGAACACATATAGGATCATTAACATATACACATATGCTAGTTTTAAACAATCAAAAAATGATGATTTTTTTTATCAAGACTGGAATAATTGTAAATATCAACAAATAGTTGTAAGTATCAGCAATTAAATATCAACAAATAGTTGTAAGTATCAGCAAATAAATATCAACAGATAGTTGTAAGCAAATAGGATCATTTTAGAGATACAATTGTCAGAAAGATTTTTAAAATAAATGAAAAAAAAAAACATGGAACCTTTTGAAGACTAAGAGAGGACTAGCATGTCACACTATATTGAAAATCAATGATTTTTCAAGAGTAATCCCTCTTACCTCACTGCTTTCCAATAATTCACACTAAAACCTTTCTGTTACTAGGATTAAAAACTAGTAGAACACAAAAAATGAGCTTTTTTTTTTCTAGCATGTTTTTTCTAGCAGACAAAAATAGATAATTCAGTTTTCTGGCAGGCTGTACTCTTTAACTGTATTTATCTCCCATAGGCCGTGGGGCCACTACAGTCATGGAGGTTGCTCATATTATTTTTAAATCAAAAACCTCTAAAGGTTTTAACTCTTAACTCTGCATGATCATTTTAAAGTGATTAAAATAATCTACATAATCTAATTGATTAAAATAGATCTATACATCTTAACAAATCTAAAACAAGGTCCCATAATTAAAAATGAATAAAATAATCAGTCCAATAAATCAACTAATAATTAACTCTAAAAGTTATTGTGAAAATAGAAGATTAAAATGAGCATACTAAATTTTACAAAGTGTTGTTTACAAAGTTGTCTACCCATACAGCATGAAACTTATAATTTAAAAACAGGTGACCAATACATTTTCTAAATCTTGTGAAAATTAGATATGAAATATTTACTACAATATGATATTATAAAAAATTTTATTTAAAGAAAGTAACATGCAATTTTATTTAACAATTTTATAAGCAAGCATTAAATTAGAAGATAAAAATTGTGAACAGAAATATTTTAAAACTAATATTATTTAGCTTTTAAAATAAAATCCTTATTATGAAATATTAAACCAAAGTTAAACTTGCTTAAAAAAAGTTTTATAAAAAAAAATTAAAAATAATGAAAAAAATACAAAGAAAATCTTACTGGTGACGCATAAATAAGCCTTGGCCTCCATGAGATAAGGACTGTTTATGAAATCTATAGAAACACTGTACCAACCCTCATCATCAAATGAAACATTTTTGATATATAAACCCAAAACAGTTGTAGTGTCATAATCATAATGGGAACCTAGAAAAATATTTTTTGAAAAATAAACATTTATATTCTATAGCATATAATGTCTATATATGTATATAAATATATATCAATCAAATATATATTTTTCAAATCAAATATATATTTCTGAATAAAAAGTTCTTACAACAGATATTTACAAATAGACACCTATCAATATATATAGAATATATATATATATATATATATATATATATATATATATATATATATATATATATAAATATATATATATATATATATATATATATATATATATATATATATATATAAATATATATATATATATATATATATATATATTTGTTGATGAAACACAGTGTAAAATGAAAAAAATTTTTGTTAAATGATATATATATATATATATATATATATATATATATATATATATATATATATATATATACATATATTATATATATAATTTATATATAAATATATATGTGTGTGTGTATATATATATATATATATACATATATATATATATATATATATATATATATATATATATATATATATATATATATATATATATATATATATATATATATATATATATATATATAAATATATATATATATATATATATATATATATATATATATATATATATATATATATATATATATATATGTATATATATATATTATATATATATATATATATATATATATATATGTATATATATATATATGTATATATATATATATATATATGTATATATATATATATATATATGTATATGTAGGGGTCAAACATCAAACACTTTTAAGCCAGACTTTAATAGTCTGACCTAAAAGTGTTCAAGGTTGGCAAAAAATTACCAACCTTGTTTCTACGTTTTATAGTAATTCCTTTGTGTCAAATTTGTCAACTTGTATGTCCATGGTGTGGCGCAGAACGGGTTGGGGTGTGGTATCAGTTAACTATTTCTTTTCCAGATTCGATTTTAAAAAGTTGAATTAAGTCACCACGGTGACGTCTTTCTTCAAGGATGGTCAAGTCTAAAATGCCTAATCTATTTTCATAAGGTAGATGTTTTATATTGCGGGCTATCTTAGTTGCGTGTCTTTTGACTCTCCCCAATACATATATATCCCTAATCGTATGTGGGTTCCAACTTGAAGCAGAGAATTCAAGATGAGGACGCACGTACACTATGTAAAATTTTTTCCAAAGTTCTACATTGCGGGAAACAAATGACTTTTTAAGCATCCCAAGCATCTTGTTTGCTTTAGAAATGCCGTATCTTGTTTGCTTTAGAGATGCTGTATCCCAAGCATCTTGCTTGCTTTAGAGATGCCGTATTGGACTGGGCACCAGTCCGATACGGCATCGCCTAGGATTACTCTTTGTTTACGGTTGCAAAAAAAGGATTTCACCCATTCCAGAATTTGACCGTTGATCCCATATCCTTCTAGTTTCAAGATTAGACTCATGTGGTGAACCTTCTCAAAGGCCTTGGCAAAGTCCAGGAAGAACAAGTCTACCGATAGTCGATTAGCGGATGCTTTTGTTAAGTAGTCCATCATTCAAGGTAATTTGTAGAACACAACTTACAGGGAATGAAACGGTGCTGCTCTTGTGCAATTAAATTATTGTCAACAAGGTGAGCTAAGATGGCTTGTCTTACTATATTTTCTAGTAGTTTGCAAGTAACAGAGGTGAAGCTGATAGGTCGATAGTTGCTCAGTTCAATGGTCAAGCCTTTTTTGAATATAGGAGTGATGTTGGCTATTTTCCATGCCGTAGGAACTTCGACTTGGTCAAGTGATTGCTGAAATAGTATGGCTAAAGGTTTTGCCCATTCTGATGGACAGCTGTGTAAGACTATTGGATGGATATTATCAGGTCCTTGGGTTTTATTTGGGTTCATCTCACTAATAAGTTTTTCGACTTGATTTGTATTTACGCTAATATTGCAAATTTTTTTGGTAGTTTTGTTAAAAGGTTTGCCAAGTATTGGACTAGACGCTGAATTCAAGACGCTTTCAAACTGTTTGTTGATAATGTTTGCTTGTTGTTCTTTTTCAGTTGTTATTTGACCAGAGCTGTTTAGTAAAGCGCTAATACCAACTTTACTCTTGTTTTTACTATTGATATATGTGAACAGACGTTTAGGATTTTTTTTATTGCAAGCAAGGTTGAGTTCAAATTTATTTCGTTCTTTTTTGCTGATTTTCTTGAATTTATTTTTTACTTGATTGTAACATGTTTTTAAGTTCTGGGACCTCCATTTATTAGCTGTGTTTAGATATCATAGCCATGACTTTAACCTAGATAGTTCCATGACCTCTTTGCTTATCCAAGATGCTGTCAATTTTTGAGTTAGATGAGGTCTTAAAGTTGGTATCTCAATACACAGTTTATGGTAAATAGACATGAAGGTGTCATAAACTTTTTTATATTTTTGTTGGCTAGAAGAGATGGCCAGTCAATATTTTTTTTTTTTTTTATTATTATTATCTTGGCTTCCAACAAGGTTGCAAACAACCACTTATTAGTGTTGGAAGTTACTGGAAGAGAAAAGATGAAGATTGTAGAGCAAGATAACGATTGACAGACGACTTAAAATATTGCAAATTATATGAATCAGGAAAGCAAAATGAAGGAAGCGAATTCCAAAGAACTGATGTTCGAGGAAAAAAACTAGACGAATAAGAGTTTTAGGAGCACTTAGGAACAGTAACAGAAAAAGGATGAGACTTAATTGAATGACGAGTAACACGAGAATGAATTTTAGTAGATGGCACAAAAGACGCTAGCTCTTTAGAGCAGTGCCCATTATAGTATTTGTAGAAAAGAGAAAGAGAAGCAACATTACGACGATGTGACAGAGGTTGAAAGTTGGCTGCAAGAGCAGGTCCAACTATGTTTACAATGCGTTTTTGCACCTTGTCTAAAAGAGAAAGAGCATCATTAGAAGATCCACCCCAGATATGGCAACAGTATTCCATACAAGGCCAGATTTGAGATTTATAGAGATAGAGAATAGAATCCAGAGTAAGAAAGTGTCGAGCTCGATAAAGAGAAGCAACTTTAGCAGATGCTAATTTTGCAACAAATTTTGATATAAGGTTTCCAAGAAAGATCAGAAGTAAGAGTTAATCCTAGAAGATGAAGGGTAGGAGACTCATCGAGTACGTTACCGTTCATAAATATAGGAAGGTCTAAATTATTGCGATAACAATTGGCCGAAAAAAATTGAGTTTTATCTGAATTAAAGTTCACCAGCCACTGCGAGCCCCATGCTGTAGCAGAAGTGAGATCCTTTTTTTTTTTTTTTTTTTTTTTTTTAACATCTTCACTTCCAACAAGGCTGCAAGCAACCACTATAAGAGTTGGAAGTTACTGGAAGAGAAAAGACTAAATCTGTAGAGCAAGATAACGATTGACTGATGACTTAAAAGATTGCAAATTATATGAATCAGGAAAGCAAGATGAAGGAAGCGAATTCCAAAGAACTGATGTTCGAGGAAAAAAACTAGAAGAATAAGAGTTTTTGAAGCACTTAGGAACAGTCACAGAAAAAGGATGAGACTTAATTGAATGGCGAGTAACACGAGAATGAATTTTAGTAGATGGCACAAGGGACGCTAGCTCTTTAGAGCAGTGCCCATTATAGTATTTGTAGAAAAGAGAAAGAGAAGCAACATTACGACGATGTGACAAAGGTTGGAGATTGGCTGCCAGAGCAGGTCCAACTATGTTTACAATTCGTTTTTGCACCTTGTCTAAAAAAGAAAGAGCATCATTAGAAGATCCGCCCCAGATGTGGCAACAGTATTCCATACAGGGACGGATTTGAGATTTATAGAGATAGAGAATAGAATCTGGAGTAAGAAAGTGTCGAGCTCGATAAAGAGATGCAACCTTAGCAGATGCTAATTTTGCAATGGATTTGATATACGGTTTAAAAGAAAGATCAGAAGTAAGAGTTAATCCTAGAAGATGAATGGTAGATGACTCATCTAGTACATTACCATTCATAAATATAGGAAGATCTAAATTATTACGATAACGATTGGCCGAATAAGATTGAGTTTTATCTGAATTAAAGTTCACCAGCCACTGTGAGCCCCATGCTGTAGCAGAAGTGAGATCCTTTTCAAGCTCAGATACCCCCTCCAAGCAATCAGAGAGTGTAGGCTTCTTATCATGACAAAAGTAAATGGTTTTTCGAGCTCAGAAGCCCCCTGCAAGCAATCAGAGGGAGTTGGCTTCTTATCGTGACAAGAATAAATGGTAGTATCATCAGCGAACAATGCCACCTTAGATGTGAGAATATCTGGAAGATCGTTAATGTAAATTAAAAAGAGTATAGGGCCAAGGATTGAACCTTGGGGAACCTCTGAGGTTACAGAATAAGAAGAAGAGTGATGTCCATCGAGGACAACTTTTATACTACGATTGGAAAGAAAGGATTCAATAATCTTAAAGATGTTTCCAGATACACCATAAGAAAAAAGCTTATGGAGGAGACCAGCATGCCAAACTTTATCAAATGCTTTAGAAATGTCAAGAGCAATAGCCTTAACCTCTCCACCTTTATCTAATGCGCGATAAAACCTATCGGTTATTACTGATAGCAAATCAGCCGTAGAACGAGAAGATCGAAATCCATACTGATGATCAGAAAGTAGGTTATGAGATTCGAGATTCGAGATTAAGTGTTCGTTAATTAAAGATTCAAAAACCTTGCTAATGATAGGAAGAAGACTAATGGGACGGTAGTTAGATGAGTCAGATCGCTCTCCAGAATTTTTAAAAATAGGGATAACAGATGCTGCTTTCCAGCAGGCTGGAAAACAAGACTCTGATAAGCACTTGTTAAATAGTTTTGAAAAGATAGACGACAGCTCAGGAGAACACTTCTGCAAGACTATAACAGGTATGTTGTCCGGGCCACAAGCTGCAGAAGAGTCTAAGCGGGAAATCACTTTAGATACAGAAGCTGGAGTGATACGAATGTCAAGCAATGGATCAACCTGTTT